TCGGGAGAGTTTAGCATTCCCGCGTTCCCGATGGAAAGCGTCCAGGCCCAATTCAGTGCGCAACCATTTGTTTGAGAGATACATCGACGGCCTCATCTGGTTGCGCTCCAACGCGATGCTCAGAGGGGCGCATTTCGGGCACTGAGGTCTGCCAGTGACTATGTCATTATCAGAACAGGCACGCGGCCTGGAACGATTACGGCTACAGATACTGTAAATGTGTTGTTTTTCAATTGTGCATTCAGATATCGAGCTAGAACTTGACGCGAAAGAACTGTCATGTATCCCCCCATCCAATCTTCAGAGTTTCTCGGTTGCACAAAGTCCCGGCGACGAAGTTGCTTCGATGTCATTTGTCGATGATTTCACCCCCTCTGTCATTGCTGAAGAGTCGGCTCTATTGATCCCGAATCTGAGCAACCCATCGCTCTTGTTTGTGCGATGTGCGCCAGGCATGGAACGATGCTCATCCCTTCCAAAACTAAGATACTCCTCTGCTTCAGTGGTAAGGGATCACATGCGGCGCACCGCGCATGTTTTGACCAGGACACTCCTTCTGTAGCGCCCCAGGTCTGGCAGGCACAAGTATCAGCGATCGGCTCTGCAAAATGCACAGGCGCGATTCTCACCGACAGAGCGACAGAGGGCACGAAGGCTGGGAAATCACTGCCAGGTCCACAGGGCCGCGGTGCGGCCCATCAAGAACTCTGCGGCTTCTAGGAGCTCGCCATCCACGAAGGCCAAATCCTGCACTCGGAAGCGCTAGGTCATGGTCGCTGTTTCTTCGGCGCCGCGCCGCGGAGATCCATGCCCAACCCCATTGCGAGTAAGATCCGTTCTTGTCGCGAGTTTATTTGTCGATGTGTCTTTGGGCTCTCAGCCGCGAACGCATCCGAAGCTAAGCTTTCGCATCTGGACATCCTAGCAAGAGCGGACAGGCCTCCTTGGCAATTGCGCGCCACGTTCTTCGGCTGCGGCATCTATTCAGACTGTTCAAGGTTGCCCCCTCGTTCCTTCGGAGGCTTCTGGATGCCGCTGTTTTGATCTCCTGCTCCTGGGCCCGCGCCCGGGCATCAAGCCTAGACTTGCTTGCCGGTTTCTGCGGCCCCGGGGATCTCCCAGGGGGCGGGGTTCGGGATGATTATACCACCGCGCTCCAAGTGGTCCGATTCGCTTTCGTTCGCGCGTTCGCTCAGCACACGCGCGCGCCAGACGCCAGCAGCACTTGCGGGGCACTCGCCTCGACATTATTTCCCAGGGCTCGCCCGTAACAGTACCCGAGCCGCCTGAGGCGCGGGCCTTCATTCGCCACGAGTTCGGCCAGGCGGTCCCCACAGCCAGGGCCCCCAAGAGCCATCGAGGCGAGCAGCGCCCCATCAGCACGCCCCTCGACCCGCGGCGGCGGGCGCTCGCTGTCAAATTTTCGGGCGGGGGGTGCAG